TTTACGAGAGGCACTCAGTTCAGTCGTGTAAGCCAGTTGCGAAAGCCAAATGTAGGATGCAACCTTACTAGTTGCGATCATTCGAACTGATTACCTGGAAGCATCCATGAAGTGAACTCAATTCACAAGGTTCGGCAAGTATGAAGCGCAAATCGAATTCACTAGCTGCACGAGCGCAATGGTAGACAGGTGGCTCTAAGGTAAACGCCAACCCCATAGTCAAGCTACCGATGCCATATATGACCATCTGATGATCTTGATGAAAAGCCCTTTTGCACTCGAGCTTTTTAGGAATTGATCAGACATATTTGGACGAAAGAAGACGGCTGTTCAGATTCCTCCAATTTTTTCATCATTACTAGCTGTGAAAACCGCGTACTTGCCGTGCAGTGGTTATAGCTGCCACAGATTCGTTCATCGATGATTTGGGGAAGTGGAGTAGATAAGTTCGCATTGGAGGCAGGGAGCTTACATAATGGATACGTAAATAAAGGGGTATCAGTGGACTTTTAACTGGAGAAAGCGGGAGGGGAACTATGTACTGAAGACAACAGCTAGGGTGCATGAGTGTCACTGAGAGTGCGACTGAGCCATGTCCGACAATATCTCTAGCTGTCAACTTGTCCCGTTTCGGGGTCCCCATCTAGAGAGATGGGAATCAACAGCACAGCTGAGTTTACTGGTAATGGCTTTCATACCTTGCTGCCAAGTCATTTCTTGACCTATCCTGCTCGTTTCCACTCTTTACGTGGCTGTGCGAAAAGGGCCGTTCAATGAAGTCAGTCTACTGGCATACGTATATGGCCACACCAGTGCAAACTAATGAGTGTGAACAGTCCGTCTGTCCTGGGTGAGTTATTTCTTCCGAATTCCATTCGACACATTTTAGCATGGTGGTCGTTGGCTTGTTCGCTGAGCTGGGCAATTTGATGGCAAACGTTTCATCACCAATAGAGGTGACATCATCAATGCGTTATTGTGGAGCGTAGGAGTACGTAGCGGTGGGTCGGTGGTTGTGCGAATATTGGATTCACAAACAACGAAACAAGGAACTCCTTGAAGGCAAATCAATAAAGGTCACAACCCGGGACTGGAAAGGACAAAGGTCACCCTAGCATCGACCAGATTATGACGGCAGGGGATGCCAAGCTCAGAGGTCACGTGGGCATCGGCGAATGAGGACACAGGACAACGGAGCAACCAATGGAATCGCCCGACCGAACAACTAATCGCGATCAAAGGTCATCCGCTGCTAGCAGCACGTATATTAGCACACGCACAACACTACCCAACGCACAACCACCAACCCACCGCTACGCACTACTACGCTCCACAATAACCCAATGATGATGTCACCTCGATTGGTGATGAAACGTTTGCAATCAAATTGCCCAGCTCAGCGAACAAGCCAACGACCACCATCTACGCTACCTGAGCTACCAACATTTTCCTATCAGTGGTCAAACATAGTATTACTGATTCGGTGTTCCACCAGATTCGAGCAATGCTCCGAAGGCATCAGTGGTCAAACACTGAAAGATTTTTTGACGTCCTCAGCCCGCAGTGGCTGGGTTTCTGACCTGTAACATGGATTTTACCGCAGCAGTGTAAACCCGACCCTCAATGGACACGCTGGTGTAACCCCTACGACAAAGGTGATACAGTATCATGTGAGTGATACAACTACCTAGGTAGACAATCGGCTCATCTGCAAGCATGAGGTTAGGGTTCGAGCTCACCCAATCTTGCAGCAGCACTTTACATCTCGCAGGTGTGTAGCGCGTGCCAAACCGTGAGGCAGAATTATTTTCAGTATTTGCAGTACGACGGCGTTAAGTGCAAAAAGAGCCATGCCCTCTGTGTACTCGATATTTGTGGGCGAATACCCCAGGAGCGTTTTAATCCCACACTCATTAGAGGCCGATAGTGAGTCTTTCATAACTGTATCAACGATGATGTTGAAGAGGAAAGGTGAAACAGGACAGCCTTGGGGCCGAGATGGCTCAGTGATTAGAGCGCTAATACACTGACGGGATGGTTCGTGGTTCGAACACGACTTCTGCGGTCTAGGCTTGGGTAATCTGGCAGTATCTCAGCCCTCATGCCTCCTTCCTGTCTCATGGCAGCTAGGCACCTAAATGATGTTACAATCGAACGATTATCTTTATTCACAGCTTTGGCTGGCACCACTTGGTGTGTTGAACTCAAGCGAGCGCTTCCCATAGACCTTTATACCTCTGCAGGAGTTGGTGTACAGCGCCCTAAGAAAGGTCAGGAATAAACTAATTTGTCGATTTATTGAAATTCGGTCCTCACAACTCAATGAATTTGGGCTTTGTGAAACGACATGTGACAGAGGAAATCAAAGGATCTCATCGACGAGCAAGTAGGGGGGGGTGCAACCAACACAGGCTTTATTTTCGGTATTCGTGTCCCAATCTGAACAATTCCTTCTGTCCTGGTGCAACTATTCCAGCTATTTTAAACTGGACCCAGATTTCGCTAGTATTTGAGCCATACCGGAATTCGGAGGTCAAAAATCTGACATGCGAAACCGGAATCATCATACCTGGGCAGGGGAATGTGCACACATTTAACTTGCGATTGGTATGCCCAGCAACTTTACATAGATCGCCGTCTTATAGTGACCGCTTTTGGCCATTTCCCCTAAGGCGTTACAGAATGACTTGGCAGCGAAGTATGAAAGCCATTACCAGCAAACTCAGCTGCGCTGGTCACTGCCGTCTTCCTGGATGGGGACCCCGAGACGGGCCACATCAATGGCTAGAGACATTATCAGACATGGCCCAGTCGCGCCCTCAATGGCGCTCGTGATTCAACGCTAATGCCTTCAATACATAGCTCCTTTTCCAAACCCCCACTTGACAGCCCACTGACAGTGCTGGATTTATGCACCAATTTACCAGCTCGCGCCTGCAATGCGCAGCTGCCTACCCCGCCCCCCAATCATCGGTGAACGAAACTGTGGCAGCTACAACCAGTGTACGACAAGTACGCGGTTCTTACAGCTGACAATGATGATGATGATGATGTTACAGAATGATTCCTACTATTCCTGTTGTGCAAACCACCTCACCACTGAGAAGTAAAGGCTGCGAGTTGATGCGTGAAGGAAATGCATTCGCGTTAACACACTTACTCGCCTAAATCGGCAGACTGGGCGTTTTGAGTGGCCTCGACAGTGATAAATATACAGTTATGGATACACTTGTGAAATTTTTATACACTTGATTTCCAATTGTTGTCCGATAGAAGTCAGCCGGGGAGGCAGGTAACAACACCGTCCTTTCATATTAGAAAGGCACGTTCGATTCTCTTATGACCATCCAGATTCTCGAACATTAAGCTGCACCCATAGTTCCTATACGAAATAGAAAAGATATGAGCGCAAGGGTCGAAAGGAACACGGACAGTACAATATAGAGAATGCATTAGGCATTCCATCAATGGAACCGAAGAAACCTCGAGGAGAACGCAACGCATCCTGAAGCGGATAGCTATTCTGTATCCAGCTGTTAGGCTTGGGAAAACAGGGTGATTCAACCCTCGTGCGTCCTACAGATATCACATTTCGTTCATGTAAACCAGTTTCAACCTCTGTCATCAGAATGACATTATAATGATTATCGTCAATTTCGTCTCATGAAAGTATAGCGCGTGCGTCGGTAAACAAGGTGAGGAGTCATGATATTTAAACCTAAACGAAATGCTCCTAACATTTTAGGAAACATCTGAAACCATGTGTTAGAGGAAGCGCCCAACAATGAAGGCAGAAATTCAATGACCTTCCTCGACAATAAAACCAGTTTTACCCCGTGGAAACGACAAAGAATGAAACAGACAATGTAGTCATGACGTGTTAACGTACTCAAGGAAACGGGCGATTGAGCATTCGAAAATCCGGTTAGGCCACCACCTCGCTTCATGTGCACCGTTCGTCAGAACACCATCCGCCTGGACAGGACGGTTTGAAACTGCTTACTCCATATTTCCATGCACTGTCTACAGATATTTGGTTTTAGTGGGTTCAAGTGACATCAGCAGATCACTTCAGTGAGACAGTCCGTGATTAACTCATCCACTATCACCACCTGAATTTTTTTAGGAACAAATGCACATTCACATGTGACCGTGAATATTGAACAAGGGTAGTTGCATATTTTGGATATCACAACCGTCATGTGTAAGTCAGGAGTGCCATGGCCAAGAATGGAGACGTTGAGAGCAAGACCGCATGCTAAATATACATGAGTGAATTAAGGAGACATCCCTGCTCGTTACCTCACGGAAGTATACATAAATTTTCCTCGCTGAAGAGGCTACTTGAAAAAAGAATCATCTTCAAGTGATCTTCTCGATGGCGAGTACGTACATTTGCACGCGAAATCTGGATGAGGTACAACACCAAGACTGGTTATAAATTGAACTACTATGGTCCAACTGCAATGGTTCATTTTATTTTTTTCGCTTACCCA